CAGGTACAACCCAGCTTATTTGTCTCTTGAGAAACCTATATGCGGGTCAAGAAGCAACAGTGAGAACTGGACACGGAACCACCGATTGGTTCCAAATTGGGAAAGGAGTCCAGCAAGGCTGTATTCTGTCACCCTGCCTATTTAACTTATATGCAGAGCACATCATGAGAAAGGCAGGGCTAGATGAATCAAAAGTTGGAATTAAGATTGCCGGGAGATATATTAACAACCTAAGATATGCAGATGATACCACTCTAATGGCAGAAAGTGAAGAGGAACTAAAGAGCCTCTTGATGCGGGTGAAGAAGGAGAGTGCAAAAGTTGGCTTGAAACTCAACATTAGGAAAACCAAAATCATGGCATCCGGCCCTCTCAATTCCTGGCAAAGAGATGGGGAAGAAATGGACGTAGTGACAGATTTTATCTTCCTGGGCTCCAAGATCACCACAAATGGGGACTGCAGCCAAGAAATTAGAAGACGCTTGCTCCTGGGGAGGAAAGCTATGGCAAATCTAGACACCATACCAAAAAGCAGAGACATCACCCTGCCAACAAAAGTACGTATAGTCAAGGCCATGGTTTTCCCAGTTGCAATGTATGGCTATGAAAGTTGGACCATAAGAAAGGCTGAGCGTCAAAGAATGGAGGCCTTTGAACTCTGGTGCTGGAGAAGACTCCTGCGAGTCCCCTGGACTGCTAGGCCATCAAAACGGTCAGTCCTAGAGGAGATCAACCCCGACTGCTCTTTAGAAGGCCAGATCCTGAAGTTGAAACTCAAGTACTTTGGCCACCTAATGAGAAGGAAGGACTCACTGGAGAAGAGCCTAATGCTGGGAAAGATTGAGGGCAATAGAAGAAGGGGACGACAGAGAATGAGGTGGGTGGATGGAGTCACTGAAGCAGTAGGCCTGAGCTTAAATGGACCCCAGAAGATGGTAGAAGACAGGAAGACCTGGAGGAACGTTGTCCATGGGGTCACGATGGGTCGGACAGGACTTCGCAACTAACAACAACAACATAAACAAATACAGACACCTTTCACCCAAGCTTGCAACTACAGAGACGCAATCGTGCTGTTGATGACGATGATACAAAACAATATTTGTAATTGCCTAATTTGCATATATTTTTTTTTAAAAAATATCTCAGCCTTTCTCTATTGCATCCTGATATTGCATCCAACTATTAGTCAGGTGCAACCTAATAAATACACTTCCTCCCCCCACCCTCGAGATTTGCTAAGTATTTCAATAATTTATAATTACAGCTTTCCGGAGGAACTAAGAATGGAATAGATGGAAAACAAAAACCTAGCCCGGCTGAAAATAACTCAGGGTTCTTTATTTTTAGAATTGCCCGGTGTCAGTTTTGTTCTTTCGCTAATCTTCTTCAGATGTGGGAGATAGGAGTTCTCTAATAGTTGAATCCTTTGGCTTCAGAAGTAAATAGATTGCCTTCAGATAATCGAGTATCTCCACGCCCATTTCTGAAGGAAGAACGTTTAATCTTAATTGCCTGTCACTAAAATTTTAAGGAGAGGCAGGCCAGTTGCCAAGGTCCCCATAAGCCAGAATGGCAGGTACTTTAGGATAATGCCACATTTTTAGGAAGATAAAGCTACTTACTGATGCAGTGTAAAAACAGGGGAAGGAGAGAGGAAAAGAATAAAATCAAATATTTTGGGAAGGATAACAGGACTTGAGAAGCCAGGGAACTGACTGGTTTTTTTTCTCCTCTACTATAGGAAACTTAAGAAAGGAACCATTTTTTTCTAAAGTCATACAGTCAAAGGAAAAACAAAGAGACATTGTTCGTTCCTTGCTCGACAAATGTGGTAGCAACCAGCTCTTAGCAAACTACAGTAGTTGCTTTTCTAATTGAAAAGGACGTAGGAACAGGGATCACCGTAGATATAAAATATTGTGATATTAGGGAGGGAGGGAGAGAGAGGGGGAGGGAGGGAGCAAGGAAGGAAGGAAGGGAGGGAGGGAGGGAGGGAGGGAGGGAGAGAGG